TTTGGGAGCTATTTAATCTGTTCTTAGGGTTTATTTCTAAACTTTACTACATTCGATCTCTTTTATGTTAATTGAACATTGCAAAATTGAGAATCGCATTATGAGTAGCTAAATTTCCTAGTTCTGGGATTGTGGCTACATGATAATTGTATTTTATTAACTTTGGTGGATTGATGTTGATTATCATATGAATCTCTCTTTTGTCCTTGCTGTAGTATTTCATGGCTGGCCACTATTGAAATAAATGTCTTGTCCGAATTGAACTCGGGAGAGGAATAAGAGGATAGAACGTGGGGTAAAATGAGCATGATCTTCTCTAGGTTTAGGGTTGATTTGTATCTAGGATAGAGATATACTTTAGAAACTTTACTTGGTCAATAGATAGGACGAAATTGTAATGGCCAGTAATTGGTTCATTCTATCCCAGCTCAGCGATGTAGTCAGGTTGCATATTACTGTTGGCGATTAGAGGTCGGGAGACCATGATCATACATTTAACCATGTAATCAGTGATTCGATAATCAATTTCATTCATTAAATGAGATAATTTGCAAGAATCCATAGCAAGCTGCAACCCTGAAATTCCTCAAGTCATTGTTTGAAATCCAATTGAAATCGAATCGTAGTAATTTATGTCAATAAGTAGATAAATAAATCATTTGAAATCCCATATCACTATTATTGATAACACTTGTTCTAAATTTTAATTGTTGGAAGAATTAAATATATCTAATCTTAAGTCCCTGTGGATACGATATTATCCGACTCTTAAAAAGATTTACTTTAATACTTGCACGACCTCGTACACTTGTGTGTGCGTTTGGGGACAATATTTATCTTTACTAATATCAGGCAAGATTATTGGGTGCACCTAGTGAAGTTGAATGTTCGAATTTCATGTTTACTTTGTCATATATCTTATGATAATTTTGCTATGGTTGAGACAGGACTCCGACCTACATATCCAGACGACATCAAAATACTAGACATAGCTACTCCAAGAAGAGATGCACAAGTATTCGCATAACATATACTAATTTAGTTTTAAACAATTCTTTCAATCATCTTATTAATTATTACAAGGGAGTTTTTCGAGTAGCATAACTATTCATGTAACATCACCATATCATGACAATACCCCAAAGAAGTTCAACTATCCTAAGGATTCCATTTGTATCATGTGAAATGATTATATTAAAGAAGAATCAGTTATTACTATTAATGATTATGAGATTTTTACAAAATAATATGTATTTGAAAGTTTGTAATCACAAATATTTATTTATAAAAAGAAAATGATTTTATCACTTTAGGATATTTTGATAGCTTATTATGAACTATGATTTACTTATTTGATAAGATAGTATCAATTTGAACAGTTTTCACAGCTTATGAAATTTTTATATTTATGAAGAAAAAATACTTATACAACTTAAGAAATCAAAATTACATGTCCAAAATAAAACTTCAACTTCATATTACTTTAATTTCACAACATGATTTTACATCGCATGTCCAAACGACTGATAATTGAGGGAACTTGACTAAATTAAAGGCCAAAATTAGTCTTTGTGGGGTCAGAGAAAATAGCCATAAAATAGAAAATGAAATCATGAGAACGTCTAAACATTTGCTGCAAATTTTCCATATTATCGTATTTGACTGGTTTGGAGTCATTTTTAATTAATACTAAAAGACTTTGACTATTTCCAAGTCGTGCTTTTGATTTTGGAAATTATTTTCTAAAAAAAAATGATGAAAAAGATAAAGGTGATTAATTGTTGATTTAACAAATTCCCTTTCCAACGAGTATATGTAAATTAGTGAACTTTCGCGATTTATGTAATTATAAAAAATGATTAAATATATTTTTAAATCATTAATATTACTATTTTGATAAACAGTGTAATAGAAAAAGAGAGTGTAAATAAAATCACTATCCTGAGACAACTTATTTATGAAAATTGCTAAAGGGATATTTTCAAATTGTAATTCCAACTTAAATCTGCTGTTGAAAAAGAGGAAAACATAAAATAAAAATAAAAATAAAAATCATAATTTCATACTAAATATAACGAACATTATAACAATATTAATGCTTCAATAAACAATAATATTAAGTAACTTGATTATTAATTACCTGACTTTCTTTATTTATTAAAGATTTTGTAGTAAAAACTAAAAAAGAAGAAGATATATTTGTGGAAAATAAAGATGAGAAAAATACTTGAATTATATTCTAACATACTTATCTACGAAATGCAAAAGTTATAGAGAATTTTTTTCGATATTCGATATTTGTACTAGAATTAGACCCCACTTTTTGAAATTTCACTGAATTTGTTGTTGACTCTCGATATTTGATATTTATACTTGAATTACCTCTAATCAAATGTCTTTGTTTTGAACAAACAAATAAAACAAAAAAAATAACATTGATTGAAATCAAAACAACATATCACTAAGTCTATAATTCTTTTAAGAGAAAAACAAAATTATCATGTGTTTTTAGAGTTAATAAATTGTTGCTAACTAAGATAAATTATCAAAGGTTATTGGTGATTAATTGTTGATTTAATTATTCAAAACAAAGATTTTTTTTTTGTTTTTTCTTCAATAACCAAGAAATGAGATACATGTTTTGGTCTAAAAAAAAATGTTATAATATGTATCATGTGTTTCCCATCTTGAAAAAGGGAAAAAAGAGTCCTTGCAAAACGCATGATCCACGACTCCACTTTTGGAAATAAATAATTAAATATAGGATTAAATAATTTTCTTAAAATTTATTGGATGTTTTTTCTAGACATTTGAATTAAGTCTTGTTTTTATTAAATATTTTAATTAGATTTTTCAATTCAAATTTTGAAAAAAATAATATTGATGCTTGTTTTCATTTGCTTATTAAATGGTTCAGTTAACCACTTAAAAATATGTCATATCCTTAAATTATACACACTAACCTCAAGTAGAAAATATCAAAAGTTTTACAGCTTATTAAGATAAATAATATAATTAAAAAAATGACATATCTTATATGATCAACTTAACTAATTAATAAACGCTTGACGATGAAATACGGAAAAAAAAAAAGATAAAAAAATATTAAGAGTAAAACAAACTTAAAGGTAAAATTATTTTCAACCAATACCCATTGTTACTTTTAGAACGAATAAGAAAATAATATAATATGAATTGAAACTGATGAGTAATTCATATCTCATCACTTTTACAAATACTTTAATTAAAGAAAAATTTGCGTATCTTAACATATAAATTAAAATAAAATAATAAAAATATTTTTAATTAAATATTAATTAAAAACGTGTAAGAGAAAAATATGACAAAAAATACAGAGACTTGTATGACAAAGGCTGACCAATTCAAATCTTTTTTGAATGTAAACGCGTTTTCCAAACTTTCCATTTTGGTCAAAAGTGGGATCCACACCTTGTGGAAATATTAGCATAAACATTTTTCATAGTTGAAAATACTCCGAGTCAGTTTGGTACTAGGGATAAGAGATAATTAATTTTGAAAATAATTTAGTATGAATTTATTTATATTTAATTAAAATAAAATTGTGTAATAATTTATCTTAGAACTAGTTATTTGAGATTGTAATATTATTTTTATTTAATATTAAAAATAAAATAATAATTTAAAAAAATTAATTTCAGAATAACTTGTCCGACTACGTAGTGTTTGTGTCTATATCTCTGTCAGTCAAACAAACTATTTTGGAAGGAAAAAAAAAATGCAAAATTTCCATAACGTTTTCCCCACGATTGGCTTTTATTTTCAAAGACAATTTATATATTTGTATAAAAAGAACCATGAAAGTTAATTTTTCCTATTTTATCAACTTTTTAATATAATTTTTAATTTTAACAGTTTACATAATATAATTTAAAAATTACACCATTAAAGAATATTTTGAATACTTACAAGTTATATATCTTTAATTTAATTAGATTTTTCTTACTTTTTAAAATTATTAATCAAATTAAAATCAAACAAATTAATTAAAACCGAGGGAATAAACAAAGGAATGTGGACACTCGTAAGTGTGACTATAATTTTTCTCTTATGCAGCTATTTTCAATCCTCTTTTTTTTTATAAAAGTTCTGTCCATTAAGAAAAAAAGACAACAAAAATTAAGGTTGTTACCATCCCCTCCCCATACACCTCTCATAGTTATTTTTTTAATATGATGTTCGATATTTTTATTGAAGTTTGATTATTTTAAATTAGTATTGTGTTGGATTTCATTCAAGGGAGTATTTTATATTAAAAACTTTATATATTCATGATTCGAACTTAAAACTCTGATTTAGAAAAATACAGCCTCAGTGCATCACATTCTTTGATGGTACACCCATACGCACAACCTCACAAGTCTATATGTTCATAACTCGAACTCAAAATTTTGATTAAGAAAAAAACAGTCTCAATGCATCACATTCTTTGGTGGTACACCCACACACACAACCTCACTAGTCTAGTCTACTTTTTTTGTTTTCATACCAAAAAATAGTGAAGTCCAGTCAAAC